CTAACGCATAACGTAAATAAATTAATTTTGAAAATGGGGGTCATTTTTGGATTGCCAATAGGAAATTAAAAAAAAAAGTTTTGCAAACTATACCTTGTGAGATATCAAATAAAAAGGCTTGTCGTAAGGGTCTCATATATACTGATCAAAATCGAACATTCACCCCTCTTTATAACTCCCAAGCTACTGAACCTAAAGTTTTGAAAAAAAATACTGAAAATAGTTCTTTACTTATAGATTACATGAAAATTAACGTAGTAAATCATTGAACAAAACAATATCGTACGAACAAATTTACATTTGCAATTTGAATGTATGTGAGAACATGTTTTTTTTTCAACTACAATGTTAAGTTGGTTCTCGCGTTAGGATTACCCTGTTACACTCCTTTACACAAACGCAGTTTCTGATGAAGTCATAGTTCGACGAAACAATATAATTTATGGGAATTAGACCAAGTATGTGTTTTATTAACTGATACGCTTGGTTATCGAAATAAATTTTAGTTTTATCCGGTTCTATCCTCAACAACTTTTAACTGATATTGAAATACAAACAGGGAAGTGAATTCGCGCTTTGTTTTGTACATTTCCGTTTCAAATTGAAGCTGGTTCAATTTATAGTTTAATTAATTCAATCTCGAACGTTAAATGGAATCAAACTTTTTCTCCGCACTCGACGGCTTTCCTGCCTCTTTATTCAATTATGCAGGGTGCCTGCCAAGTTTATAAAATATTCATGACCACGACGTACGAAGCGTCTGCTTGTTTTAAAATTTTTTTTTATTTCGATTTTGTTTATTCTTTTTCATTCAATTCAAGGTATGTGTATATCTAATCGTTGCTCCAAAGAAAAGTTTTAATTCAGACAATGATAACATCTGACAGGTTTATCCGCAGCACAACTTAGAAACGTTGGAAAAGCAATCATTGTAAATTAATTAAAATAATTAGCACTTCGTCGTATTACTTCATACCTTACCAAGAAAATTTGGTAAATGTCTAGATGATGGCCCCCCACTCTCGAAGGGGGTGGGGGTGGGTGAGATCGAAAGAGGAGGTCTCCCCCACCACTGTGGCGGTCTCACACCCATAAAAAGTTATGGGGGTTAGATGGGGGTGGGGGTAGAGGGGACCGAAAGAGGGTGGTCACCTGAGTAAAACCCCATAAAAAAATTGCGATGGTCTCACCCCCATAAAAAGTTATGGGGGTTGAAAGTTGATTATTTTGACAATTTTCATACACTATAATTCAAATAAAATTCAATAAAATAATTATTTTCAAGCGGGCGGAAGTGGGGGATCGATAGAAGGTGGTCACTTAAACAAAACCCGATAACCTAACCTACCCTATTGATAAAGATATTTAAATAATGTTTTATATAACATTCTCAATATTTTTATGTATTTTTCATTAGTTTTACCTTTGAATATTGTTTAAAAATGACTATATAAATATTTACATGCCTAGCAATGTACAAAAATTGGCATATTTATTAATTTTAAACCCCCATAACTTTTTATGGGGATGATACCGCCACGAACTTTTTATGGTAAAGTGGTGGGGGAGACCTCCTCTCTCGATCCCCCCACTCCCACCCCCTTTAGGGGTGTGGGCCATCATCTAGACCTTGAAAGTAACAGTGAATTTATTAGATATAGGTGCAGACAATTGTTCAAACAAACATTTTCACTCTGAATACGTACTGGTGTTTTCATTCTACCTGTACCTATCATTGTATTCACTGTTATAAATTTGTCGTAGACTTCGGGTATCAGATTTCCACACGCACTTGGAATCTTTTCGACGACATGCGTCATTTTGACAAATAACGCGACAAACGACGTCGTTAAAGCGAACTTCGTCCGCAATAATGTATCCTTGCAAACGAGCAATCCATTATTTTAATATATAAGCGGTTTTCATCATCAGCATCCTCATCATCATCATTACGGCGGTGGTTCGGCAAAAGGAGGGGAAGAACCGAAAACGCCGTTTTGCTATCGACCACAATATCCCGTTCATTTCTTTGAGTAGTATGTGGCGCGTACGGTTACGCCTGAAAAGACCTTTTGACGAAAAGCCATCCTTTATTTTTTTAATTTTCCATAATGCTCTGCATGGCCGGATCACAGTTGGCTTTCAATATCGCGCGCACAGACATCAAGGGTCGAGTGCCCAACATACACGTACACGCGTACACGTGCACGGTATGCGATAACTGGGTGCACATTATGTAGAGCACCGACGGCGATGGTTCTCTCAAAGAATTTTCGGAAACTGGCCGGCCATGAATAACTTTTACCACCGGGTATTGTTAACATTTTTCGGACGGCTGAATGCGAATTCACAAAATAATTGAGATAGCTTTTTTGAAAGATACCTATCGATTTATGCGAAAAAGAAATAAAAACCCTTGTTAACGGCGTATCTTGTAGGCGGTGCTATTAAATTTTGTGTTGGAACATTACATACTCATATACGAAGTCTGTTCAAAACGTATCGCGAATTTTGTGTTTTTTCAAAAAATTTGTATTTATTCATGAATATCTATTCAAAGTAACCCCCACCAAATATTATACACTTGTGCCAACATTTTTTTCAATGCTTGAAGCACTTCAAAAAATCATTTTTTGTGATTTTGTTCAGCTCCTCCTTCGATGCCGTCTTTATCTGCTCAATCGTAGCGTAGCGTTGTCCTTTCATGGGCCTCTTCAGTTTCGATAACAACAAAAGGTCACAGAGGGTCAGATCTGGGGAATACGGTGGTTGCGGCATTATTAGTGTGTTGTTTTTGGCCAAAAATTTGCGCACAAGCAACGATGTGTGAGCAGGGACGTTGTCATGGTGCAAAAGCCAATTCTTGTTCTTCACAAATCCGGCTGTTTCTGGCGCATTCCTTATTGACAGTTCTACCCTGTGGCAAGAACATTTCACCTAACTTGGCGCGCTTTTTTCGGTGTTGGCTCGTGCGGCAGCTTCCATTGGGATGATTGAGTTTTGGTTTCCATGTCATAATCATAAACCCATGATTCGTTACCAACTATGAGCCTCTGGAGCAAATTGGGGTAGTCGCTGACAGAGTCAAACAGCTTCTTAGCAATGTTAATGCGATGCTGTTTCTGGTCGAAATTGTGCATCAATGTTTTCGTTTCTTGTTGACGTGCTCGGGCACGCTCTTCGTCGTTCACATCTTCTCGGCCCTCTGAGAAAATTTTGTACCACCGATAAAAGTTGCTTCGGTCCAAGGTAGTTTCACCATATGCCACAGTCAACATTCGGTGAGCGTTCGCATACTTAATTTTATTTTTTACACAAAATTTGATCCACTTTTTGGAATAAGCAAAAATCGAAGACGAGCCAAAACACGTGCAAAAAAAGCAGTTGTCAAAAATTAACTGAACATTCAACATAGCCGAACTTGTCGGTATAATGAGAGACATGAGTACCAACATAACGCTACAAAAAAAATCGAATATACGTAACCCGTGGAAATTCAAAATTTGCGATCCTTTTTGAACACACCTCGTATTACATTTACTTGAAATGTTAATTAAAGGATTTTCTCCACTTAGAACAATTGATTTAAAATAATAACTAATACATAGCGACATCGGTAATACTACTACAAAAAGCCAATTTTTATCTGAAGTTGATCTAATCCTTATAAAATTATAATCACGCTTTCGAAGCAACTTTTAATTTTTTTAATGTGTTATTAGAATTGATTTGGAAAACTAAAATTAAAATTTGACTTACATGCAACTTCCACCGTTGCCGGTTGGCTTTTTATGCTTCCTCTGCCGCTCCAAGCGTGACATTCGCACTTGAATTTTTCCTTCCCGAAAAACTCCTCGACCATGTCCCGAGTGACATTGGCCTCGGCCTCGATTATTCGCACGCCGTTTTGGGGATTGACGAACTCCCATTGAACGGCATCGACGTTTCGAGCCCCGTTACACTTGAAGTAAATTTTAAGGGTGTGCGCGGCGCGACATTGCAATGTTGCCGGCCGATTTTTTACCACGTAGGCATCCATCGGTTCAGCTAAGAAAATTGGCAGCGAATCCGAGTTTGAAAGGAGCGAATCGTCCGCTTCCGGTGCTGGTTTTGTCGGAGACGTTTCCTCTAATAGAGTTCCATCTGAAACAAAAGGGTAAATTTGCATTTTAAACTGAGCAGATCTCATAGAAATAGAAACTAATAGTTTTTGTTTGTTCACAAATTAGCCCATGTGTCAGAACAAACTAAACTAATTTAATTCCTCCTCGACTAGAATTATGAGGGGGTGCATGTGGGGTTCCTAAGTGGGTAGCCTATTACCTTTTGGGGGCCCCATGAGGTTACCCCGAGGGCAAGGAAAGGGCATATAACGCCTTGCCTCATTTACGCATCATTAGGAATGCCGCATGTGGCCCACGCGGAGAAAAATTACTGCTACCCCATTAAAAATTTTTGGAAAAATGAAAAAAATACAAAATTGAATGAGAAGTATATTTTACCAATGAGAAACTGTTCACTTTTACATATATTGCAACGGTATAACACATATTATTTCTTTACTTTCGTCACTAACATTAAGATAAACCATTTTTTTGTCATCAATGATTTTACAGGTAGTAGTATTTTCATTGTTTGCAGAAACTATAGGTACATTTCTAAATACTTAGCATCACATAGATACGTATAAAGGGATTTTCTTTTTCGTAGTAGTTTTCCACAAATTTCAACACAATTTATATCTCCATTTGGAGGAATATATATAAATATCACTTATTTGTAAAATTTGTTTGCTCTTAAGTATCTAAGATTGTGTTATTGAGCTCTTTTGTAGTCATAATACTTTAAATTTCTATCGCTTTACTGTTGTTTGACTTGTTGGTTCTTTGCAAATGTAAAAGATTTCATTGAAACGACATAATAGGGTAAGGGGATTATTATTTATAAGTCTTTTTATTTTACCGAGAGTATTTTCAAATGTATTTGCCTCATCGATTTCCCATAAGGTAGATTTAATTGTATGTTTATACATGTGTTAGGTTTGCCCCTTAAGACCCATATGGAAAACCCATAAGGCAATCCTCATTTTAGTATCACCACTTTTTTGGTGGAATTTTGATGTAGAATCTACCGGGAAATCCCTATATTGGCATGCCCCTCATTAGCCACATGAGGCCCGCACGCTAGATGGGACATGCCCCTTATAAATTCTAGTAGGGTCGTGCTCTGTCATTTCTGTTTTCCGTTAACTTTAATTCTAGCGACTTCTTAACTTGGCTTAAAGATATGCCTACCTATCTAGTTCCTTCATTATTTTTTTCTTATTAGCCACTTCCGGAAAAATATCTTTCTTGTTGTCATTTTAGTTCTATTACCTTAATTGTATCCTGACAGAAACTATACAAATACAAACATGAAACAAGTAGTTGTTTTATGTAAAAAAAATGCTATGCCATCAAAAAAATTGGAATCAAAACTTTTTTCCTATCAGGTATTTATTAAGTTTCTAATTTGGCATCAAATTTCAAATTGACAAGTAAAATAGAACATCTTCGGTTTATTTTTATTGGAAAAAAAAGTGTACAAAAAAATAACTCAATATGCTCCTGATAGCCGCTTTATTTTGAAAAACAATAAAAAGATGTTACCTTACAAGAATAGACCCATTACAGAGAAAAAAATCGGTTGTCTGTAAAGTCAGTTTACTGACGATAATTGAACGTGACAACGTCATAAGAAAATACTGATGGAATGGTTTCATTTTTCAAAAGAAAATTTTAATTTTATTTGTTTGACTTATACATTCACGGACTTATTGATTGGTTTCTTTATTAGGACGCATTGAACTAATATAAGTCTAACGAATGACATTAAATATTGTTACTCTTGATCACTAATTTATGTATTTCTTTTAAGATATAGTGATAAACATCTGTTTTTAATTTAAATAAGTCTGTTAATACAAGCAAATGATTAAATCTAACTCGCATTAATCTTTATTTTATAACTGTTTATACCTACATAGGTAGTTGGTCAATTAGCTGGTCGAAGGTAGATTGATTTTAAATTAACGATATTAATTTATTCTAATTGATTTAAGACCATTCTTGATTAGTACTTAAAAAGTAATTTCATCTTGCATTGCGATTGCTTATGTCAAAATATAATATAAATAATCGAAATATGAAAGTCAAATTAAAGTTGATAAAGCCACTTTAGACTTTCAGTCAACGTTTTGTCTCTAGTTGAAGACTTATGCTTATTCTTCGGGATAAATATGAAAGCTTTTATTATATCCGAGGTCTTACCGAATCTAAAAATGTTATTATACTGTTACGTGTTCTAGTTGCATTTATGGCTTCTAATTTGCTAGTTTTGAAGGATTTTGAAAAGAAAAAAGTATTACGGAGAAACATAACCGTAACTAATTCAGCTAAATTATTTCCAAAACTTATATTTCTGCACTGATGCTTTCTCTGTGTTTGCTTCAACGACTATTTCTTTTATAAAAGCATATTATTTACATATTGAAAAGGTTCTGTTGGTTTGATTTTTATTATTTTTATCTTTCAGACAATTCCCTGCATTCATACATCATCGTCAGCGACAGTCAATTCGAGGTGTTAGTTCATTTCGGTAAGTGAAAATGTTCAAATCCTTTTTTACAATAGGTAATCTCTGAAAGCAAAACGCTTCGCACCTAGATGTCAAGTAAATTAGTAAATTTACGTTCATATCTTAATATACAGTTTATAAATTATATATTTCTTTATCGGCATTTTCTCTTTCTTTGGGCATAGCAATAAAAAATAACGATTCAATTAAATGATATCGATTTGTATTTTTAACAAATTGAAGCAAGTCTAAAAACAACGTTGTGTCTTGCTTAAGCAAATTTTCTGTTTGCTACAAAAAAGAGTTAAAATTAGAAGCGAAACGTTGAATTTCAAACAAGTAGAAGCTTTTGAAATGATTCAGCTAAAAAATGTTGTATCTGCAGTTTGATAAGTTCATCCAAAACATCGCGTCGTTCCTTCATTGTTAAAATATTTATCCATAATTATCAATATCGAACCTGCCTGCCTTTCTTTAGGGACTTCAAAGCATCAAAGAGTAACTCAAGTAATACAAGGGATTTGTTCGTAAAAAAATACAAACTAAGGGATATGGATGCGTGGATATGTAATATCTTACCATGCTGACTGTTCCCATCAAAAGTTTTGCGATTAAACTCTCTCAAAACATCCATGAACGTCGATGACTTTTTTAGGAGTGAATCAATATCAATCATCAGTTGTAATTTTTGCTAGTGAAATAAGATCAAACTAATAATGATTTAAATGTAGATTTTAATGAATGGACAAAAAGTCATCCTATATCTGAATATAGAAAACTGTTACGATTAAAAATTATGCCTATCGAAAGAAGTATCATTCACAGGTATCATCATACTAATGTGGATGATGCATAGCAAGCAGCAAGCAACCTACTATATTCCACGAAAATTATATGAAAGTCATTTTTATATTGAATTAAGTTTTTCCGTTTGTTGTTATCGCATAATACTTATTTTGTAAATTACTCTGCAAATAGAAGTGACAGTACCTACACAAAATGAGACGTTGACGCGAGAAAATAAAAGAAATTTGTACGAAAATTTAGTTTTTACAACCACTATAAAACAGAATAAATCTTGCGAGTAAAATATTTAGTAAAATATTGTTTCTGATGAAGTCAAAAAATCTACAAAACAACCCAGCCAATAACAGGTGATGCTAGTGGTTCAACTGTCCTGTAATTCGCTTTGCCCCAGTTTATGTCGACGTATGTTTAATATCAAGTAGCTTCCTTTTACTCTTTCACACAACACACATACTCAAATATGCCCACCTATAATATGTAGGATTATAACTGTGTTGTATCTGAAATGCATCGTTATAACCGCATCGTCATGCACGTAATCTACTTGGGTGGCAACTATTTTTATCTTCCTGCCTTTGTTTTTTATTTTTTATTTACTTTATAACATAGCCGCGTTGATCAAGATTTCACCTATGTTTGAAGATATAAGACATTCAGGATTTAGAACAAATACGTATATATATTTAATTTAAACATCGGTTATAACGTACTAGTAGGGACTGTAAAAATCAGTAGCATGTTCTATCTGAAGTTCGTTAAAAAAAGTAACGAAAACAAAAACAACAGGACACAATATTTACACCCCGAAGACTCTTCTTATTGTTTAAATTGGAAAAAAATAATACAAAAAAAATGCTTTGTCTGCTTTGTCAAAAAAGCTGTAATATAATTTTACTTCTGGTGATTTATAAAAAGCAGTTATACTTCTAATAATGCTAGATTTTTAGGTATTTTATATAAGCCGTGTATGTCATAAAGGATTATTTAACTATTGAGGTCTTTAAAATGACATCCAGGACCTTTTGTACTTTATAAGCGTTTTTGACTCGTGACCTCATTCAATTGAATCGTTACTTTCTATTGCTGTGGAGATCATTAGAGAACGAATTTTTTAGATTTTTTCCTGTCTAAAGCTTCTCTTTATTGATTTATATTGTATTTTATCTGTTATTTCAAAAAACTGCAGAGTTGAATATGGATGGGATTTGTTTTTAATTAAGTTCAAAGATGTTGATGTCGATCCAAAAACTAATAATCTAGAAGTCAATGACTTTCCTTGCATTAGTGTTGGCAGTAGTTCTTGCAATTTGACTGGGATTATTTTTAACTAAATGTTTGTTTGCATTACTAGAATGGGTATGGTTGACGTTTAAGATTTTACGTTAACAAAATTTGTATCATGAAACTGCTGCTACGTGCAGAAAGAATAAAATAAAAATTTATAGATACAACTTCAATAGATACGTAGATATTTTTAAAAAAAAATATCGGTTAGCGTCTGTGTCGGTTGCTTACTTCTTTCTGAGACAGTTTTGATCAAGAAAAACAGCCTTAATACGACGGTTCTAGGCGATTTATTTACCATTTCCTGGTACGCCTACCGTCGAGGAAAATAATGAGCCAAGGAGTGGCTGCTGTGTTACTGAACGAAATATTTCACAAAAATTGGTAATTTATGATGCTTAGATACGATAAAAATGTGATCTTAATAAATTTATAGTTGCTTAAAAACTTTTATAATGATTAAACGTAAACTGCAAGCTTCTTCAATAAGAGACTCAAATATAAAACAACATTAATTGCTTGCAAACTACTTACTTAATTTCAATAAATATTATAATGTAATAGTAAAAACATTTAGTTTGTTGGTTTTTTAACCTACGTAAAGCTTCTGTTACACGGCGCGGCCTGGAGCGGATAGCCGCGTCCTAGCGGTTTCTTTAATTTCTTTGGACGGCGCCGACGGGCGGGTCGAATGCCGATCCACGCTCCACCGCCGTGTGACATGGCTTTCTTAACGCGCATTCAAGCATCATTATGATTCGAAACCTTAAACTGAATCATATGCAAACAGACTGACTCTTAACTTTTGTAGGTCTAAGACAACGAAATGAAAGTCATTTTCGCAAACAATATACCTACTTGAAATTTAGTATTTTCTTGTATACATACAATAGTTAATTTATATACCATATGCGAAAATGCGGATCTTGTTATAAATTCTCATTAAAAGCAATATTATTCGTTCTTATTCTTTGAGAAAAGTTTAAGAGGGGAAAACCCCTCGAAAACATATAACTGATTTCTAATTTTTTTTAATGGGAACGTATGTTTGACTTCAGCAATGGAAAGAAAGGGAAATTTGATAATCGCAAATACCCTTAGTGCCAAATTGGTCTTAATTTATCATTCTCCAATAGACTTTTCTTTGCAATAATCTTTGTCTATATACTTCGCACCCCTGTGCTTTCATTTTGTTCTAACTCTTCAGGAATTCAATTAAGTATGTTTTGTAAAATTTCGAACACTATGTCGATAACATAATTAAAAGTCAGGCATTTTCACTCATAGTATCTACCCCCTGCTTCCAGCGGACTTCCACGTGTCTTGCTTAGACTCTTTCGCAACCGGTATATAATTAATATTAAAATAGAATTTTTAAGTCTGCATTTGTTCCTTCATGTATATTCGCAAGTTGGGCGTCGAAGCTTAAGCGACTGCTAAGCCAGTATTTTGCAGACGCCTTCGCCATTTAAATCAATTTCCACTTCCACTGGTCGTGTAGGGAATGTAGTTCAAATATTTGCATAGCATAGCTTTTAATGCATTAAAACAAAACTTTCGGGACTTTCAGGCGAATGCGTATAGAGTTGGTTTACTCAGAAAATAATCGTCGAATAGTAGGTAGACGGAAATATAAAGTTTCATTCAGTAATGCAGAACTTGAATTCCTAATTTTAAATCATCTCTTAATAAAAATTGATCGATTGTAGAAAAATGCTTTAAATGAAAAGTGAACATGAACATTGAACACGAAATTAAATGATAATCTCGGAAATTCATAGAGAGTCCCAATCTCCGGACACTGCAAGTGTGCAACAAGCGATAAACTTATAGGATGGGGGAGAGGGTAGGGGCTATAAACATCTAATTTTTTTTAATAATCTACTAGAAACCCTCCCCGGGTTGATCTACCCACTCAAGGAGGGTTTTTAGTCGGTAGGGGCTCCCATCAGGAGTGAATCCGACACTACCCCCTCTTTTGGGGGGTGTCTTTAGAAGATTTTCCTCCTCGAGGTTAAAATAAAAAAAAAAAATTACTTACAAGTATGCTATTTTTAAAGTTACTGGGTTCACGACATATCTTTATACTCATTTATCAAAACTATACCGTATTCCTACATATTTTCTTTTTCTGCCTTTGAGGATATAATTAATTAGAGTACCATGCACAGTAAGATGTGCTTGACCTGTCTTAATAAAGGCTGGTCGCATACATGTGTAAGCATGTACCTCACCGAAAGGTCGACGATTGCATAAGATACCTTTGTTTTCTAATAACAATGCATTCTTTCCGAAGTATCACTTCATTATTTGAAAAGGGGAGCATTTTCTTTATTATCAACACAAAAAGGTGTTCGTGGCATAGGTCAAGTTGGTAATTTTAAAAAATATCTATCTTGACACATATGGAAAAGACATACTTCGTACTATTTTTGCACAATGATTGATTGTGAAGTGAATGATACGAATTCTATTCTTTTTTGAAAGATTACTCACAATAAGTTTTAGAAACATAACTACTAAATTAATGAATATTTATCAACAAATACCTTTATAACAATGAAATACTAAGATATTGCAATGTTCGTGGGTTTAACAAAATTAACTTCTAAGACTGATAACGACAAAAACTATTTATTTACACTAATTATTAAACTTAAAAACACTATTAAATTATTACTAAACTTAGGTTATGAATTATTCTAT